GCGAGTGGAACTGGGCAATACAGGATAGGAAGGGTCTCGGGACCAAGTGGGATGCGAAAATCTGGGGAACAGGCCAACTCAGGGTTTAAGGAGTGTAGAAAGTTGGACCAAGAGGGATGTAAAGTTCGGGACATAAGCCGACTCGGGGTTTAAGGTTTTAAACAAGACATCCCAATCAAAAGGGTAAAGGTACCCGGGTGTGGCCACGGATCTTACAGCAGGACGCTAAGAAACACATGCGCTCTTGGCGCGCAGGGTTTTGAAAGGCATTCGAGCAATTTTTCTGAAATTGGTTGCAAAGCGGTCTTATGGACCATATGGTACAGACGTTGAGTCAAAGTAAGAGAAGGAGTTTGTTTGGAAGGATCAAAGGTCGCTGAAATTATTGTCCAATGCACAGAAACAGAAATCAGGGCCCACTGGTCGGCCCTCAAAACCAAATTAATGTTTTTTCACCAAAGAAAAGACACTCTACAACATATTCAGAAATTTAATTTGGACTGGCTGGGAGGAACTGCAGAGAGGGGATTGGGTGAGGTATGTGGCCAGGAGCGGAAGGAACAGCGAATCATCTCCAACGGGATTTCCAGCTTGACTTTTGAAACTGGTTCACACTTCAGCCCGGAGTTCGGAACTGGTTCACACTTCAGCCCGGAGTTTGAAACTGGTTCACACTTCAGCCCGGAGTTCGAAACTGGTTCACACTTCAGCCCGGAGACTCCCTCCGAACTCCCGATTATTTCCCTGAATTTTTTTGGAGCTCGCCCTGGTTGATATGCAATGGTATGGCTTACGAGAGGGGTAAGATCTGATAGATTCTGATGGGTAGGGAGCTTGGTTGGCAAGTGGCATCTGGCTGTCCTTCTGGAACTGAAGAGGCTTCCTATCTTTTTGAAAGATTTCATATACTCGTTGCAATGCACTTTAGGGGACACTGGACCCGTTTTCCAGCAGGTGCAGCTCCCCACCAATAGAAAGGAGCCATCTGGGCTGTCTCTTATACACATCTAGATGTGTATAAGAGACAGCTACTGAAGTTAGACCCGTTTTCCAGCAGGTGCAGCTCCCCACCGATAGAAAGGAGCCATCTGGGAGGGATGGTACCTGGGGATGCTCGTATCACCTCAGGTAACAGCCCCAGCGGATTTTTTTATTTTTATTTTTTTCTAATTCGGATGACTGTGCCATGCTCTTTGATTAGCTGGTGGTGTCAAAGAGCTGGTGGTGCCACGCCTGGTCCCACACGACTGTGCCGTGATGTCAAGTAGAGAGGTTATCGAAGCATGGCACACAAGCGAGCAGAGAGGCCAGGGCAGGGATAGACCAGACGTAGCTACCCACTCTGCTGTGGTCCACCGAATGAACCAGGTGTGAACGTTTCTGGCACTTGTACCCAGTCATAGTCAGACACTCACAGCATCATCCAGGGAAAGGAAGGGGGAAACAGGGGGACCAAGACGGAGGGGGCGTGAACACCCAGGGCTCTGCTTGCCTAAGAGATGCCTGGCGGACTCCATAGCCTTGCGCCTTATCTTCCTTTTCCTCCGTCGAACTTCCCCTCCACCTTTCCCTCCACCCTCCTTCATCGCTGGCTATGGAAGGCAGGCTCTATTCCGGAAGCGTTGCGCCACCACCATATTGTATGTACCGCCTTACATGAGATTTTGCGGACGAGGCGTTCTTCATGAGCAGATAAGAAAGAGCAAGAGACAAAGAGAGAAAGAAAGTGAAAAAGAGGGGGAGAGAGGCGGGATATCCACTTTTTCGTTTGCAGTTACATTCGTTTCGATAGATAGACTGCTCCAGGACTTCGAGTCATATCTGCATGAGAGTTTTCTGTTGCCAAAAGCGCTGCGCTATCCGGTCTACCTGATGTCAGACTCGTTGAAACCTGTGGAATCTTACACCAAATAGGGAAAAAAGGTAGCACCGAGAAAATCCAGCAGAGGTGATCGATCCATACGGCGGGGAAGAGATAGGTGGGTAAAGGGTTATCGACAGTGTGCACCGCAGATGAGGTAACTATCCGTCCGAACAGGAAGTAAGAGATTTATTTAAGTGGAGGATGATGATAGCAAGTACCAGAACAGAGATCCGGACATGTCTTTCAAAGTATGTTGATGAGGATGATGATTGGGAGGAGGAGGTGGAGAAAGAAAAAAAGATCATGAGGATAAGGCGGGGAGGGGGGCAAGGACGAAGTAACAAAAAAAAGAACTCGAAGAAACTGCACGAAAGCAGTACTCTCACCGAGGTCGATGATTCACACCAGTCTTTCCCATCGCTCATATGTAGTGATTGTGCAGCGATATGCAACTATTGTTGACTCCACACGATGTTCCTTCTCTCTCTCTCTCTCTCTCTCTCTCTCTCTCTCTCTCTCTCTCTCTCTCTCTCTCTCTCTCTCTCTCTCTCTCTCTCTCTCTCTCTCTCCCCACACACACACACACACGATCTTCCTTTTCTCTCTCTCTCTCTCTCTCTCTCTCTCTCTCCACACACACACA